TCGAGACCTGCCTGGGCAAGTTGGTGAGACCTCATCTCTACAATAAATCAAAAATCAGCCAGGCGTGGTAGCACGCGCCTGTGGTTCCCGCTACTTGGAAGGCTGAGGCAGAAGGATCGCCGGAGCCCAGCAGGTCGAGGCTGTGGAGGCTAGGAGCGTGCCACTGCACTCCAGTCTAGGCGGCAGAGACAGACTCCAACTCAAAACAAAAACAAAAACAAAGTGAAATTAGCTCATTACCGAGTATCACTATGGGGCGGGCGTGAGCTAAGCCAAGAGTCCTCCCAGCCACCCTATGGGGTAGGGACTGTTATGACCTGTCCTTTCTAGATAATGGCACTGAGTTGCCTGCTCAGGGCCACACAGTGGCAGAGGTGGGATGTGAAGCCTGGCAGCATGGCTTCAAAAGTTCCAGGTATTGTTTATCTTAATGTCTAGTACAAAAAAGCACACTAGGCCACCAAAGCTGTATTTCCAGAAATGCGACTTAGGGAACAGTAGCAGGGCCTGACTCAAGCCCAGGGCCCCAATTCCAACTGGGTTCTGGCTCTAGGGGAGGCCAGGGAGGCGGGCTGGGGCTCACCTGAGGTTGCTGAGGTTCTCAGGGGGCAGGCGGCTGCACACCTCTTGGAGGGCCTGCGGCCGGGCCCCCGCCTCCTTCAGGCTGAGGACAGGGAGAGATCTGGTCAGTCAGCCCACGACACACCTCCGCGGCCTCCTCCTCCCCATCCTCTCCCTCCCACCCTGTCCTCACCTGGCTGCTCTCATCCAGTCATCATAGAGGTCAAAGGTCATCAGGGGCTCTGGCAGCTCCCGCAGGTAGGACTTGAGGGCACCTGAGGCGGGGGTGGGGGAAGGTCAGCGGCAGTCCCCAGCTGGCCCTCCTTCTCTCCATATAGAAGGAAGCTGCAGCCCTAGTTCCTTTGTTCACACTAACAAGTCTAGATCTGACCGTTGCTTTGGGGCACAGGCCCTGTGGAGAAGATGAAGCCTAGTAATCTTGCACCCAGGAAAATGTACACGTTTCAGAGGGTTCATGATGGACCCTACGTTAAGAACCCCTGGGTGAAACTGGGCATGGTGGGTCACACCCGTAATCCCAGCACTTAGGGAGGTGGAGGCGAGAGCATTGCCTGAGTCCAGGGGTTCAGGACCAGCCTGGGCAACTCGGCAAGACCTCGTCTCTATAATCAACCAAAAACTTAGCCGGGTGTGGTGGTGCACTCCTGTAGTTAGAGCTACTTGGAAGGCTGAGGCGGAAGAATCGCCTGAGCCTAGCAGGTCGAGGCTGTGGTGGCCGTGAGCATGCCACTACACTCCAGCCTGGGTGACAGAGTGAGACAACCAACTCAAAAAAACTCAAAAAACCCTTTATGTCCTCAGGTGTCGCCTCAGCATAAAATCAGGCCTAAAAACAAAGATCTTGGAGTCACTTCAGGCAGCTGCGTCTCTGCCCCCCAACCTCCCACCCAGGACTCCCTGGATCAGGCACCTGCCACGGCGTGCGGGTCAGAGCAGAACTCCTCCAGGCTGCGGGGGTCTGAGGCCATTGTCTGCTTGAGGCGCTTCAGCACCGAGGCCCCAGCGGCCAGACGGAAGAGGCCCTGAGGTGCAAGAGGGCACAGGTAAGGCTCATGATGGGGGCAGGATGCCCTGGCTGGGAGGCCCCGGCTCCCTCACAGCCTGGGGTGGGCTGGGGCCCTCACTGGGTCTCAGTGTCCTCCCTGAGCTGGCTGGCAGAGTGAGCACCACAGTGTCCGTGGACCTTCTCAACTGTCGAGGTCTAGAGTTCTGAGCAAGGTGTGGGTAGGAAGTCTGGGAGGAGCTGGGAGAAACGATGGGAGGCAGGAGTCTGATCAGAGAGGCAGAGAGGAGACAGGAGGCCTGGGCAGGACTGCTGAGAGGCCTGCGTCTACCTTGGGGCATCTGACCTCCTAAGGGTCAATCTTTAGGAAGGGGACAAGGTACACACACTAAGGTACAAAGGACAGATGTGGCCAGCATGTGATGGGGCAACGCTGCGCCTCTGCCACCCCCTTGTGGAATGTAAGGGCTCCCTCCATGGCTTACTGGGATACATAAATGAGGCAAAGGACTCAACGGCTGATGGCCGCCACTGGCCCCATGAGCGCCGGCACGTGGGAGGCCATGCCTCCTCCCAGGACCTGGGCTCTAACGAGGGGATTACGGGCACCGGGGCAGGTAGCATGTGGGGGGCTCAGGACAGAATGAGGGACCCAGTGCTCCTTCCCCACCTGCCCCAGCAGGTCCCACCTCTTCCTTCATGCCCTCAGAAAGCAGCATCATGACACAGGCCTCGATGGGCAGGGCAATGTCCCGGCCCAGTTCTTGCAGGTGGCTTGCCAGTGACACCCCATACACCCTGGAGAAGGGGGTGGCCGTCATCGATGGGGAGGGGTCTGCAGGGACGAGACAGATCAGTGGCCCAGGCCTTCCTACCCCTGAACAGTCAGGCAGGGGCCGCCCCCAGATGGCTTCAAGGTGGCATCACCTGCCACCCGACTGTCCATCACATCCCTCGAATCTGCCCGCTCCACTGCCTCTGCCCCAGTCCAAGCCACCGTCACCTCCCTCCTGCCTCCTAACAGGTCTCCTGGCTTTGGTCGTGTCCCCTTCATCCTGCTCCCACAGCAGCCAGAGTATCGCTCGAACCCAAGCCCAACTCCACCTTCAGCCTCACCCATGGCTCTCACTCCCTTTCAGGATGAAGCACAAGCTTCTAACAAGCCTGACCGGGCAGTGTACCCACCCGCTTGGCTGTGGTTCTCTCTCAGCTCAGTCAGGGCTGTGTCCAGAGAGCTCAGGGACCTGCGATGGTAATCAGCTTGAATCTCCAGGAGCTGTGGGGACAGAGACTCCTTCAGGGGAAGTGAGGGAACAGAGCCTTCCCTACTATCCACGAGAGCCGATGCCCCCCCACCACCATATCATGGGGTCCCAGAGGTTCTGTCTCCGGCATCCACTCCCCAAGCTCCTGATGGCTGGAGCTGGGCCCTGGACTCACGTGAATGAAGTAGTTGGCGTAAGAGTCCTCCTTGGTGGCAAAGTGGTACAGGTCGGCCAAGTACTCATCCTTGGGGACAGAGAGGAGGAAATCACACTGGGCGAGGCTGGGGATCTAGAGGGGAAGCTGAGGCTTGGAGGGGTCGGTGACCTGTCCAAGGCCTCGCGACTGCACACAGAGGGGCCTGGTAGGGCTCCTCGCTCTGCCGAGGCCAGTACTTGGGGCCGGCTCACAGGAACTCCCTGAGCCCCTGAAGAGCTCTCCTGTGTCCCCACAGCCTTTGCACAGTGCCTTGGTATTCGCTACCCAATCATCCTGTCATTCATTCATCTATTCACCCATTCACTTGCTCAGCAAACACTGCGACTCTGGCAAACAGAGCACGGATCTGCTGCCCGGGCATACTGTGTGTGTTGGAGACAGAGGACAAAGTGGGCTGAGGTGACCGGACTGCCTGAGCCCGCGGGTTCGAGACCCGCCTGGGCAACTTAGCGAGACCTCATCTCTACAAAAAAATCAAAAAATCAGCCGG